TTCTTTGTATGTTCTTTGTTGGAGTGGTTTATGAAAACTTGCGGGTCGAGAGTGATGAGACGGGATGCCCTTGGTCAACTATGTTTGCTATGGTGGTGTGGTGGAGTAGGAAATGGCGGTGTGGATATGTCTTTGGGGAGGTGGGGAAGTGTAGGGACTGGGTTAAGTTTGTAAGAGATTTGGCTAATGAGGTTCATCATGCTCATATGTTGGTCCGAGAACAAGACAGAGGGAGACCACGGGTGGAAAGCATGATTGCTTGGAAGCCTCCGGAGGGGGAATGGCTGAAATTGAATACGGATGGTGGATCACATGGCAATCCAGGGCTGGCGACGGCAGGGGGAGTGTTGCGGGATGGGGCGGGCCGGTGGTGTGGTGGCTTTGCCTTAAATGTGGGTATATGTTCAGCCCCTCTAGCTGAATTATGGGGGGTATATTATGGGCTATATATTGCTTGGGAGAGGAACATTAGAAGGGTGGAGCTAGAGGTGGATTCAGCGGTGGTGGTTGGTTTTTTGACAAAGGGGATTAGCGAGACGAACCCGTTGTCTTTCCTGGTGCGGTTGTGCCATGGCTTTCTTTCAAGGGACTGGATTGTCCGAATTTCTCATGTGTATAGGGAGGCTAACCGTCTTGCTGACGGGTTAGCTAACTATGCGTTTTCATTACCTTTAGGTTTTCATTTTTTAGAGGTTGTCCCACCTTTTGTGGCGACGATTGTTGAGGATGATGTCCGAGGAACTGCGTTTCCAAGGCATGTCCGAATTTAGTTTGTATTTTTTCAGTTTAGTAATAAAGTTCGGGGAGGCATTGCCTCCCTATGACACACCAAAAAAAAAATGTATTTACTGTGAACATCAATCTCACCAATTAGGTTTTTTTTTCCTTTCTTACTCTCTTGCAGCCTCGCTTTCTCTGAAAAAGCATTTTAGTCACATGTCTCTGCTTCTCAACCAGCCCTCGAAGCTACTATGCTTCCGGAGGAAATCTGTGTTGGTAAGATCCTCTCCTCTTCTCTCTAATGGCTTATCATCTTCATTGCGGCAAACTCCGCCTTGTACCATCATCGACGCTGTTCCATGTGGAGCGGATCTCGGAAAACTCGTCATTTCCAATGCTAACGCAGTTCGCTACACTTACTTGGAAAAGAAGGTGCCTCTGGAGTTGGTGGATAATCCAATGTTAACGATCGGGTCATCCCATGGCTGGATAGCTACTTTGAGTCAGGACGACGGAATACTTCGTCTCCAAGACGATCTAAACCCGGTTGCATCGGATATAGAACCGAAACGCATTCCACTGCCTCCTCTTGTAACTCTGCCTCATTGCCAAACTCAATATAAGAATGTTGAATTGGATGATTTTATTACAAGAGGGATTACACTTATATATACAAGTGAGAGATGTAAGAGTAGCCCTAATCACACATAAATACAGAATATGTAATTGAGATATCAAATATATGATTGACAATATTATCTCCTTAATCATCTCCTTAATACGCCCCCTCAAGATGGAGGGGCTTGCGAAACTCCAATCTTGTTCGTTAGCCGCTGGAATGTTGATCGTGGTAGTGGTTTCGTTAGCGCATCAGCTAGTTGATCGTCAGTCGAGATATGAGCTACACGTAGTGATCCGGACTGCACTTGGTTTCTAACAAAATGATAATCCAAAGCTATATGTTTCATTCTTGAGTGAAAAACCGGGTTGGCGCATAAGTACGTGGCACCTACGTTATCACAGTATATGACAGGAGCAGCGGTGATGGTAATACCTAGTTCACTGAGAAGAGAGCATATCCAAGCTAGTTCGGAAGAGGTATTTGCCACAGCTCGGTATTCGGCTTCGGTGGATGATCTAGCTACGCCTTTTTGCTTCTTTGAAGACCAAGCAATAGGATGATTACCTAAATAGACAATGTAGGCATTGGTGGAGACGTAATCGTCATTATCTCCAGCCCAATCGGAGTCCGAGAAAGCATGGAGACTCGGAGAATTAGCACGGCTCAAGAAAATTCCATGGGAAGGAGTTCCTGCTAAGTATCGAAGGACTCTTTTAACCGCAAGCCAATGTTCATCGGAAGGTGAGTGCATGAATTGTGATAAACGGTTGGTGGCATAAGAGATGTCAGGTCGAGTGAAAGCTAAATATTGAAGGCTGCCAACAACACAACGGTATTCGGTTGCATCAGAGAGAGGCGTACCAGATCGAAGAGTCAGTTTTGGAGAAGATGCCATTGGAGAAGTGACTGGTTTTGCCGAGAGCATGTTCGTACGATCTAGTAAATCAAGGATGTACCGTCGTTGTGTTAAGTGAAGACCATACTCTGTCCGTTTTGCTTCTATCCCCAAGAAGTATGAGAGTTCTTCATGGTCTTTAACTGAAAACCGTGTTGCAAGTGAGGTAAGTGTCTCTTGAAGCAGAACATTATCATTTCCCGTAACAAGTATGTCGTCTACATAAATCAACATATAAACAAAGGATCTGCCTTTCTTCAAAATAAAGAGAGAGGTGTCTGCTACTGAATTCTCAAAGCCGACGGAGAGAAGGAAAGTTCGTAGCTCAAGGTACCAGGCCCGTGGCGCCTGTTTAAGGCCATACAACGCCTTCTTAAGATGACACACATAATCCGGACGATCACTATCAATAAAACCAGGAGGCTGAACCATATACACATCTTCCTTGAGAGTGCCTTGTAAGAACGCATTGTTTACGTCGAGTTGACGAATAGGCCAGTCTCTCTCAACAGCGACTCCGAGTATAAGCCGTATTGTCGTCGACTTAATGACAGGACTGAAAGTCTCGGAGTAATCAAGACCTGGTTGTTGATTATATCCTTTCGCGACCAAGCGAGCTTTATACCTGCGAATCGTACCATCAGGATTATATTTTGTTGTATAAATCCACTTACAACCTACTATGTTGACTGTTGATGGTGGTGGCGGAACGAGATCCCAAGTATGATTAACCAATTGAGCATTGTACTCCTCTGACATTGCTTTTCGCCATTTTTCGTCCTTGAGCGCTTGATTAGGTGTTCGTGGCTCATGACCAGATGACTTAGCAAGAGACATGGCAAGAGTATACTTTGTATTTGGCTTTGAAATCCCTGTTTTAGAACGAGTCTCCATCTTATGAATGTTCACCGGATTAACAGGAAGCGTCGAAGAAGAAGATGCTTCATTGAGAGTCTGTGATTGGGCCTGATTTGTTGTTGAGATTTGTTGGGCTTGTTGGGCCTGTGTCTCTAAACCAGAGTTGACTTCAGAATTTTGTTGGGCCGGTGACAAAGTTGGGCCCGTTGGTGATTGTTGTTGAGACGAAGCAGAGCTCTCTGAAACAGAGGTGTCGTGAACTGGAGTCGACGACTCAGAGTTGGCCATTACCGGCGAGTGTGATGAAGCCGGTGACGGAGGGTGTGGTGAGGACGGAGCTGACGATGGAGTCGCCTGGGAATGTGACGATGTTGCAGTTGTCTCCGAACCAGACATTCCCAATGGTGAAGGAGCCAAGGTCGAGGGCTGGTCACCGGAGGTCTCTATAAGTGACGGAGAGGAAACAGGAACTGAAGTGGAAGAAACAGATTGAGAAATTTGTTCTGATGTGGAGGGAATTGATTTTTGTAGTGAGGAAAAAGGGAAAACATGTTCATCAAAACAAACATGTCGTGAGACATATATGCGGTGAGAGACGGGTTCGAGACAGAGATAAGCACTCTGAGTGAGAGAGTATCCGAGAAAAACACACGGAGAAGATTTAGGAGCAAGTTTATTGTTGACGTATGGTCGAAGCCAAGGGAAGCATAAACACCCGAAGATTTTGAGTTTTTCATAGTTTGGATTAGCGTTAAAAAGCTTTTGGTAAGGAGATTGAAGAGATAGAGTAGGAGTGGGCATACGGTTGATAAGATAAACGGCAGCAGAGAAGGCATATGTCCAGTAAGTGTTGGGCATAGAGGCATGAGTGAGGAGAGAGAGGCCGGTTTCGACAATATGGCGATGTCGTCTTTCGGATAAACCGTTATGTTCTGGTGTATGAGGAGGAGTTGTAAGATGAGAGATACCATTGGTAGAAAGAAAGGATTTGAGGGCTACATATTCACCGCCATTGTCGGAGAATAATGTACCGATTTTTGTTTGGAATTTATTTTCGACTAGAGCTTTAAATTTGATAAATGTCTCTTTGACATGTGATTTTAAACGGAGAGGATATAGCCATATATAGCGAGTGTGGTGATCAACAATTATAAGGTAATACTTATAATTATCAATGGAGATCACAGGAGAAGTCCACACATCACTAAATAGAATTTCGAGAGGACGAGAGGAGGAGATTGATGTTTCAGAAAAGGAGAGCTTGTGACTTTTATTGATTGAACAGTCATTACAAAGAGACTGGGACTGTTTTGTTGAATGAGGTAAAGCAAATTGAGAAACAATAGTTTTTAAAATTTGAAAAGAGGGATAACCTAAACGAAAATGCCACTCTTGTAAAGAGGGTTTATTTGAAGTAGAAGTGAAAAATGAAGTTGCAAGAGGTTTGAGGATTGGCCACTCATAGAGTTCCCCGTTAGTGCGACCTTGGAGTAATTGGGCCCCCGAGCTGAGATCCTTCACCTGAAAATGTGCAGGAAAGAATTCAACAGAAACACCATTAGCATTACAAAGACGATACACCGACAACAAATTCTTTTGAATGTTAGGTACACAAAGAACATCACGTAGAGTCAAAGGTTTAGAGCAAGAGGGAAGAGATGCTAAACCGGTATGAGAGATACGTAGCCCAGAACCATCACCAATCAACACCTCTTCACCGCCATTGTACGGCTGATGGAGAGAAAGGTTGTTAAGATCAGAGGTGATGTGGTGTGTGGTGCCGGAATCGAGAATCCACGGATTCTGGCTTGATGATGATGTGGCGGCTGTCACAAGATTCGCACGAGGCAACCATGGAGATGGAGGGTACGGCGGTGTTGGGAGGAGCGGTGGAGCAGAGCCTTGTTGATTAGTCAAGGCTTGTAGTTGATAGCAGCGTTTAGCGGAATGGCCTTGAACACCACATATCTGACATTTCCCGAGATACGGCTTGGACTGTCGGGAATCATTGCCACGAGGATTGTATGAAGGTCTCCATTGTTGAATCTGCTGGTTGCTTGGTGGTTTCGGAGTAGAGCGATTGTTGCGGTTGTTGGTGACATAATTGGCTGTGATCGGAAGAGAGGAGGGAGGAGCTGCTGTCATGAGGTTAGCTTCGTGATTAAGAAGCTTCTCATGTAGTTCCGTGAGGCTTGGAGGAACATCACGGCCTTCCATCTGATTCACTATCGACTTGTAGTCCTCGGAGAGCCCATCGAGAATGTACTCAATCTGATCCTCATGATCAATGACTTTGCCGAGAAGAGCCAATTGATCAAACCGAGTAGTGAGACCTTGAAAGTATTCGTCGATGGTTCGTGTACCTTTTGTCCATTGTTTGACTTGGTGTTTGAGTTGCTTGATGTGACCACGGCTAGGTTTGGCGTAGGTCTGAGCAAGAGTGAGCCACACATCGGCAGAAGTGAGAGCACGGGACACAAGGGGCTGAACAGAGGCTGAGAGTGCGCCGATGAGGCCTGAATAGACCAAGCGGTCTTGTCTCTTCCATAGATCGAAGGCAGGATTTGGTGTGTTAACATCGTTAACAACCAAGATCGGCTCCGGAACGGCGGCGGATGGGTCAAGAAACTTTGCAAGAGAGTAACCATCAAAGATGGCATGAACTTGTCTGCTCCACATGAGATAGTTTGTGGCATTGAGTTTGATAACATTGCTCATGTTAACATTCACGAGAGTGGTGGGGGTGACGGCTACTGTTTCGGAGTTGTTGTTGTTGTTGTTCTCTGCCATTGACGAGAGGAAGGAGAGAACAGAGAGGTATTAAAAAAATGAGAACAGAGAGATTTTACCGAGAAGAAGAGGGAGGCTCTGATACCATATAAGAATGTTGACTTGGCTGATTTTATTACAAGAGGGATTACACTTATATATACAAGTGAGAGATGTAAGAGTAGCCCTAATCACACATAAATACAGAATATGTAATTGAGATATCAAATATATGATTGACCAATATTATCTCCTTAATCATCTCCTTAATACTCAAATCGTCACCAATGGTGTCAATGTCCTCATCTTCTCCCGAGGATGAGAACTGTGTTGTGGCTGTCAAGTTCTTGGGACCTCAAATCAGCTTTTGCAGACCGGCTCAACGTAACTCTGAGTGGATCAATGTCAGAATCGCAAACCCTTGTTTCTACTCCTCTCGTGTCATGTTTTCGGAGAAACATGACATGTTTTGCATCCCCGGATCTGGAGGCCATCTCATTGCATCATGGGACCTCCACACAGACAAGCACAAAAATCCCAAGTTTCAGAGGTTGAGGTTCCAAAACATTCCAAAGCTGACAAAGACCAAACGAGAGATTATGGATTCGTGCTACAAAAGCGAACACTTGGTGGAGTCAAGAACCACCGGTGAAACTTTCTTGGTTAAGTGGTACAGGAAGGCCGTCTGGAGAGGTATGTCGAAATTGAGCACAAAAGCTTTAATGGTGTTCAGGCTGGACGACGAAGGAAATGCTGTTTACACTAAAGACATTGGAGATCTATGCATTTTCCTCTCAAAATCTGAACCTTTTTGTGTCTCTCTTAGCTCCTTACCAGGCATGTTTTTCCCTAACAATGTTGAATACATGGATGCGGACGAAGCCGGATATTATGATCTGGCAGATTCTTCTATCGTTGGTGATCTTACTCTAATGGGGACCGGTGTCTATATTCCACCTCAAAATATAGACAACTAGTTTGGAACTGAGTTTGAGTCTAGAGTCTGTCTTTTCTTTTTAAATCTTTAAACATCAAATCTATTTGTTTTTTTTTTTTATTCTCTGGAAGATTGATAATTTGATATGCATATGCTCTTTAGGAAACTTTGCTATCATCTCTCACCAGTCTGTCTTTCCCAGCAATCATTCATTAGTACTTTATGGAAATTATACATTCAGGGTCCCTCCAAATATGAACAAACTAGCACGTTCGTTTGTATGTTTAAGCAGCGATATAATCATTCATATGTTTAATGTGTGATGTTGCTTTTGAATCTAAACAAGAAGTTACTTGAGCACTTGAGATCAGTTGATATGAAATATGAACTGTAATATTTCACAGTGTTATATTGCGCAAATGGAAACAAAAGCTTTAATGGTGTTCATGCTTGACGAACAAGGAAACGCTCTTTACACTCAAGATATTGGAGATCTTTGCATTTTCCTCTCACAGTCTGAACCTTTCTGTGTCCCTGCTAGCTCTTTTCCAGGCCTGTGCCATAACCAAGTCACAATCTTTGATGGTGACGAAGTCGGCTATGTCCATCTGGGTGATTCCACCATCATTACTGATGTGATGCCTACATTCAAAAACAATTACCTTATTCCACCACAAAAACTAGACTAAGTAGTTTGGAACCGAGTCTTTTCTTTTCTTCCTCTATATTACCATGGTCATTGGACAGTAGTTTTATCTTGGAACGGATCCCTTTGCTTTGTTCACCCCTCAATCTCTCTGCAAACGATAATATTTACATCATGGCTTTGATTTGAGTCTGCTTTTGGGTAACAACAGGTTCTCTTTGTAGTCACAAAAAAATAAATAGTATTCACAATCACAAGAAAGGGCCAAAATAAAACCACCACCTAAATAGCTTTGATCCAAATTACAGCAATAAACCAGTTTCTCACGTTAGACCAAAGCTGCAACTGCTTCTGATCTCAAACCACAAACCTTCTTTTAGCAAAAAAGCACACAACTTTCTGGATTGTTCATAACAACAAAAAGTTCAATTCTTGAAAAAAGAAGAAATCATCAAAAGGGTTTCTCTCCAGGGAGATATGAAGGAGAACCCCATTCCACTTGATTTTTCTTTCTATTGAAGATTCCACTTAGATTCGGCAAAAGCACTTTCTTTGATACCACAGATGTTTTTGTCTTCTCCAGTTTGTTATGGACAGGTCTCTGTTTCGGAGCTTTGTAATGTTTTTGCGGTGATGATTCACTGGCCATATTCATCTCAGCTTCTGCTAGAATCCTTGTCGCCGCTTCCTCTGCTTTCTTCTGATCTCTTTCGCGCCATCTCCTGAGTTCTCCTTCAACAGCTTTCTTAGCAGCATCGGCCATAGCTGCTTTCTTCAGTGCCTCTTCTGTTGCACT